TAAGAAAGGGAACCATGGGGGAGGAGGATCATTCAGGGCACCGGCACCACCATCTAGGGGAGGTTCAGGCACGGGTGGACAAACCTCGGGCTCGCAAGCCCCAATGATGATTAGATGCAGGAATTGTAACAGGAACCATGGGGGTAAGTGTCGTGACCCTCCTCGGTGCTACCAATGTGGAGACACGGGGCATATTAAACCAAATTGCCCTCAACTTGGTGGGAACCGAGGGGTGGGATCAAGCGGCGCTACCACGGCAAGTAGGAACCGAAGCGGAGCACCCCATGCTAGTATGGGGCAAGGGGGAGCGAGCACAAGCAACGCGCCGTCCGTGAACCAAGGAAGGACTCAAGCTAGAGTCTACGCAATGACCGAGGCCGACGCTCGGGCCAACCCCGACTCCGTTGAAGGTAATCCTTTGTAACGATTGATAAATTACATGTATTGAGTGCTAAGAATGATAGCGGGTTTGTACGGGCTCGCCGGGACCTATACCGGCCGGTTTCTTAGCAAACAGTTGCAAAAATAAGCTGCCCAGGGGTAAACCGGCGCCGGTCAAGGCTCAAACCGGCGCCGGTTCTAATAAAAATGCCTATTTTGGACTCGCCGTAGCAAAACCGGCGCCGGTTTTGGCCATAACCGGCGCCGGCCAAGGATCGGGAAGGCTAAAGTTAGTTAAAATTTGATTTCCGGGAGGCACCGTAGCAAAACCGGCACCGGTTTTGGCCATAACCGGCGCCGGTCTAGGGGAAAAAGAGGTCGGAAAAATCACCGTGCTCGTAACCGGGGCCGGTTTTGAAGAAAAAACATTTTTCGAAGTTGACGAAGGTAAACCGGCGCCGGTTTTGGCCATAACCGGCGCCGGTCCAGTTCAAATTTAGTATATCCGGCCACCCCGAAGGCAAACCGGCGCCGGTCTTGCCTAGAACCGGCGCCGGTCCAGCGTATTTTTACCCGAAAAACTTTCGTTAAGCCCCGTTTCGATCCGGTACGTTGACTAGTGTGTCTTACATGACTTATATATGTAGGAACATTAAAGATCAATGGTAGAAACGCAAGAATTCTCATTGATACCGGGGCACAATGTTCATTCGTGAGTGAAGCGTTTGCCGAAAGTTTAGACGTGCCGTTGATAGAAATGACGCAACCCTTGTTGGTCTCTACACCGTTGGGAGACGATGTGGAGAGGAAACACTACTACCCTTCGTGTGAGGTAGAAGTGACGGGTCAACCTTTGACTTGTGACTTCGTACCTCTAAGTATGTTAGAATTCGATGCAATTCTAGGGATGGATTGGCTCGAGAAACATCATGCTCGAGTGGATTGTTATGCCAAGGTCTTGGAACTTGAGGGTGCTGAGGGAGGCACTCTACGTTTCGAGGGAGATCGGGGAGGATCTCATAGTTGTATAATATCCGTGATGAGGGCACGGAAGATGATGAGGAAGGGATGCCACGCATACCTTGCTTACGTGGTGGACGAAGCAAAGAAGGAGGTTGACATCAACGATGTACGTGTCGTGTGCAAATATCCGGATGTCTTTCCCAAAGACTTGCCGGGGCTACCACCCGACAGAGAGATCGAATTCGTGATTGAAGTGGAGCCGGGAACCAAACCCATTTCGATTCCCCCTTATCGAATGGCACCGGCCGAGCTTCAAGAGTTGAAGGTTCAACTCCAAGAGCTATTGGGCAACGGGTTCATTAGACCCAGTCATTCACCGTGGGGAGCACCCGTACTCTTCGTAAAGAAGAAAGATGGTACACTAAGAATGTGTATAGACTACCGACAGTTGAACAAGGTCACGATCAAGAACAGGTATCCTTTACCGAGGATTGATGACTTGTTTGATCAACTTCGAGGGGCAACAGTATTCTCGAAGATTGATTTAAGGTCGGGGTATCATCAGTTGAAGATAAAGGAGAGTGACATACCTAAGAGTGCATTTCGCACTAGATATGGACACTACGAGTTTTTGGTGATGTCATTTGGTCTGACCAATGCACCGGCGGCGTTCATGGACATGATGAACCGCGTGTTTAGTGAATACTTAGATCAATTTGTGATAGTATTCATTGACGATATTCTAGTATACTCCAAAAGTGAAGAGGAGCACGAAGACCATTTGAGACTGGTACTCGAACGGCTGAGGGAAAAACAACTCTTTGCAAAGTTCTCGAAATGCGAGTTTTGGCTCAAAGAGATCGGGTTTCTCGGGCATGTCGTGTCGGGTTCGGGCATTGCAGTGGATAAGGCCAAGATAGAAGCCATTATGAATTGGGGGAGACCCAAAAATGTGAAAGAGATACGTAGTTTCCTTGGCCTAGCGGGATACTACCGTAAGTTTGTTGAGAAATTTTCCGTATTGGCGTCTCCATTGACAAAGCTCACAAAGAAAGGGGCCAAGTTCATATGGGACGACAATTGTGAGAAAGGCTTTCTCGAACTAAAGAAACGGCTTACGGAAGCACCGGTTCTCGCTCTACCTACACAAGGGATAGGGTATGACATATATAGTGATGCTAGCATCCAAGGGCTTGGATGTGTACTAATGCAAAACGGTCGGGTGATTGCCTATGCTTCTAGGCAATTGAAGAAACACGAGGCGAACTACCCTACCCACGATCTAGAGTTGGGGGCGGTAGTGTTTGCACTAAAGATTTGGAGGCATTACCTCTATGGGGAGACATGTCACATTTTTACCGATCATAAGAGTCTGAAGTATGTATTCACTCAGAAAGAGTTGAATATGAGGCAAAGGAGATGGATGGAGTTGATCAAGGACTATGACTTGATCATTGACTATCATCCCGGAAAGGCCAATGTAGTGGCCGATGCACTGAGCAGGAAGAGTACGTCGGGGACATTACTCACATGTCTACGAACTTTGAGGGCACAAGTGGAGGTGTCCACGAGTGGGGCCCTCATTGCTAGATTCGAGGTTAGGCCTACATTGCTGAGTGAGATCAGTAGATGTCAGGCCACTGATGAAGAATGTCATAAGATCCGCGAAAGGATCCTTGAGGGGCCCGTGGAGAACTTCCGGGTACGTGATGACGGTCTTTTACTGTTTAAAGACCGTGTATGCATACCAAAGAGTGAGGAGCTCCAAAAGTCCATACTAGAGGAGGCCCATTCTTCGGCATATGCTATGCATCCAGGAGGTACTAAAATGTACCGAGACTTGAAGGAAAGTTACTGGTGGTCGGGAATGAAGAGAGACATCACAGAGTACGTGAGTCGATGCCTTACTTGCCAACAAGTTAAGGCAGAGCATCAGCACCCGGCGGGGCTTTTGCAGCCACTAACCATTCCAGAATGGAAGTGGGAGCATGTGACCATGGACTTCGTGGTGGGGCTACCACGAACAGTGAACAACTATGATGCGGTATGGGTAATGGTTGATAGGCTCACCAAGAGTGCACACTTTTGCCTATCAACATTACTTATCCTCTTGAAAGATTGGCAAAGCTATACACGGAGGAGATTGTGAGACTACATGGAGTCCCGATATCCATTGTCTCGGATAGGGATCCACGATTCACATCTCGATTTTGGCCCAAGTTTCAAGCATCTTTGGGTACTAAACTGAAGTTTAGCACAGCTTTTCATCCACATACAGATGGACAATCCGAGAGGGTGATACAAATATTGGAGGACATGCTTAGGGCATGTGCTCTGGAGTTCCAAGGAAGTTGGGACAAGCACTTGGCTCTAGTCGAGTTTGCCTATAACAACAGTTATCAGGCGAGTATTGGCATGCCTCCATACGAGGCATTGTATGGGAGGAAATGCAGAACACCGTTGTGTTGGGACGAGGTTGGCGAGGCCAAGATCGAGGGGATTGAACTCGTTGAAATCACCAAGGCTAAGGTGAAGGTCATTCAGGATAGACTCAAGGCTGCCCAAGATCGGCAGAAGAGTTATGCCGACAAACGACGAAGGCCATTGGAGTTCGAGGTCGGTGATAAGGTCTTCCTAAGGATTTCTCCTTGGAAGGGTATCATCCGGTTTATATCGAGGGGAAAGCTTAACCCCAGGTACATTGGTCCATTCGAAATCCTTGAAAGGATAGGGGCTGTGGCATACCGTCTCAAGTTGACGCCGGAACTTGAGAAGATACACGACGTGTTTCATGTATCGATGCTCAAGAAATACGTGAGGGATCCATCTCATATTCTTGAAAAGCCACCGGTGGAGATACATGAAGATCTACAATATGCGGTGGAACCGGTAAAGATTGTGGGTCAACAGGTGAAGAAACTGAGGAAAAAGGAGATTCCGATGGTAAAGGTACTTTGGAGGAGTGATCGAGTCGAAGAAGAAACCTGGGAGACTGAGGTCTCAATGAGGGAACAATACCCGTTTCTTTTCGATTAGACCCGCGGATTTCGGGGACGAAATCCCAATTAAGGGGGGGTGAACTTGTAACACCGTCCCCAAATAGTATTTACTTTTAAGTGAATAATGTATTGAACTTATGGAATGGTTAACGAGTGTTCGAAGTTGTGAATTTTTATTAATGTTTTTGCGTGAATAGTAAATTCGCACGTGGGGCCCGCACCGGGAGCGGGGCCGCCCGATATTCCCGAGACCGTATATTTTATTCATCTTGGTCAATATAATATTTATATAGTGGTGGATAATTTATTTGGTCCAAAGAAATGATATAGAGTTGACCGGTTGATCAAGAAGGCCAAAATACCGGTACTGGTAATTTAACAGATAAAAGCCAGAAATGAAATTCGGGAACTTATAAATTAAATTTGGGGGATTTATATTCATTATAAGGGTCATAATGATTGGGAACACATAATATATTTTATTTGACCCGATAAAATAAAATATATTTAAAACAGTCCGAAAAATACAACTTTCGGGACCGATTGTACACTTCTGGACAAAAGGGGTTGACCTCCCACATAAGTGGGGGCCAACCCACGAATTTTGAAACATGAATGTGGAGGTGGGCGGCTGGAATGGAGAGGGGAAGGTGGGAGATGTTGGGGTTGAGAGGAAAGGCATCAAAGGTACACATGATGGACCCCCATTTTGCTCACTCATTGATCAAAAGACAAAGAACAATCCTCACCCACTCTCTCCCCCATCCCTGCGGCCAGGACACCAAACAAGAGCCAAGAAAAACTCTCCATCCTCCTTCTCCATTGTTGAAGAGAGCTTTACAAGAAAGAATACCAAGAAAAGGAGCTAGAGTGTTAAAAGTGTGAAAGGATTAAGGTAATAACCTTATCATAACTTTCCTTTATTTTTCTTCTATCATATGAGATATATATCATATGAAGAACCTTGAGGGTTGTTCTACATAATTTAAGCATAGAAGAATGGGTTGGAGAGTGGTTCCAAGTCCAAGAATGGATTTAGAAACCAAACCGACAAGTTCACCGGAAAATAACCTTTTAGAGGTTATTTGTATTGATTAAGGTTTTATGATGTTAAAACCTTGTTAGGAACTTGATTAAAGTATTTTTGAGCTTCGCCGGAGTTTCGCCGGAGTTGGTCAAAGTTCACCGGAGTTGGTCAAAGTTCGCCGGAATTAGTCAAAGTTCAACCGCGGAGCGTAGAACACGTTTAAGCTCACTTAAGGTGAGGATGACCGACTATATTGCTTATAATCTTTGGGTTAATTTCATAAGATTTCCTAAATGAATATATAATGTGATTTTGCATGGATTATTAATGGTTAATAATGCCTAAATGAAATTACTATTGATTATAAGTATAGTTTGCATAATATACAAATTTATTGAATAAATTGTGTATGTCTAAATGTTATGAATATGATGGCATGATAGTAGTATCAACCATAAATCCCATTTGTGATAAGTATACTTTTATTTCATGAGAAGAAGCCATGAAGGAATAAAAGTGATATTTTGATATTGAGGCCAAATTACATATTGAATGAAGAGTCACATTGAAATGAATAAATAACTAGTATTGAAATATTAGTTGGAATTGTAGTTGAATAATGGATGAATGGATCCTAAGAAATTGAATTGTAAAGAATCGGTGATTATTGAGCTGGGCTCTAGACCGATGTAGATAACGGTGATTATTGAGCTGGGCTCTAGACCGTAGTAGTTATCGGTGATTATTGAGCTGGGCTCTAGACCGATGTAGATAACGGTGATTATTGAGCTGGGCTCTAGACCGTAGTAGTTATCGGTGATTATTGAGCTGGGCTCTAGACCGATGTAGATGACGGTGATTATTGAGCTGGGCTCTAGACCGTAGTAGGTAACGGTGATTATTGAGCTGGGCTCTAGACCGTGGTAAGAAATGATGAAATGACACTAAACGAACAAAGTTAATCATGAGATAATAACACCCTAGATTGAGGGTCTTGGAAATTGAAACATTGATTATACTTAGTATAGTTGTCATTGTTGGTCGGGCTGAACTTGCAAGTATACAAGTGCCGATATAGTAATAAAATACCGGTAAATACCGGGTCGATCCACAGGGAAATGGTTGTTATTATAAAGTCGAATATTGAATGCAAAGAATGTAAATGATATATTTTTTTTTCAGGAACTTTGCTCTTTGAGATTGGTTTAAACAAGAATGAGAATTACTAAGGCAATCGGGATTCACCTAAATGCTTTAATAGTTATTTAATAATAGTTCTTCCCCAATAATCATGAATACGATGTCGCTAATATATTCTCAACTCCGGTTAAGGCAGCGAGAGCGTGGTTTTCGTTACGTGTAAGTCCCGTTACGGCTTACATTCATCTACCGAAAACCCCGTTGAATATCAAGACATCACACCCGTATCATATAAGACCGGTTATATTTCTATTCTCGGTACTATACATGTTTATCCTTTAATGTTCATAGTTTAGACTTCAACGTTAATTGCAAGCATAAACTAAATTTAACATACTTCTATGTTGTACACCATAGTCATAAACAATCAAAATATAAAGGATAAATCACAATTTATTGGGTTAGAACTTTTATCAAACACCTAGTGTGCATAGAGGTTCATCCCTAGCCTTAGCTAAGAAATTAGCCTCTAATGCTCATATTAATCAACAAACAATATTGAAATGTAATGGAACATGAAATTACAAAGGAAATAATACCTAAACACCAATGGTTTCGGAGGTTGAAGTTTCCTCCTCAAGAACTTGAAGAACAAAAGCAAAAACAAAGTATAAACACTAAGAATTAATCTATGGAATGGAATGTGTTTGCTTGATGAATTGAAGGATTTATATAGGCTAAAGAATGTCATCTTTTAGTCTATTCGAGCCCAACAATCAAGTATGGAGCAATATTTGATCAAGAGATGAGGAAGGTGAAGTTTTCCCATCAAAAATCCTCTTGCACGACCTTTTGTTTGAGCTGAAATCGTCCCAACCGGCCCCGGTCAGTCTAGAACCGGCCCCGGTCGCAAACAGGCTCGTTTAGTGCGAAAAAGCCTTCCAACCGGCGCCGGTTATAGGCTGACCGGCGCCGGTTGCAGCGCCCAAAAATGCGCTTCCTTTCTCTTCTTCTGAAATTGGTCAAAAAGTGTCGGTTTTTGTCCCAGGATTTTGAGGATGTTCCGCTACGAATTTGGACATGATTCCTTCACCAAAGTTGTAGATAATGAAGTCTTCTATCCACCAAAACTTGAATGACGTGATTTTATTCATCCAATCAAACGTTATGGCTAAAACACTGAGATGTATGCATCCTGAAATCCCACCAGCAACATCTGACTTTGTTGGTTGATTGAGTCTTGTTCCTTTCATATTTTGGTCATGACGTTTTCATAACATTTGTTCCTTATTGAGTTAGCATTCACATGAAACTCGAATCGAGTGATTTCGAGTTCTATAGAATACGTTATACTCAAATTATGGGCAGAACGTCATTCTCTTGGTCTAAAAAGTCGTTCATCGCAATGTTTTATGCTCTAGCTCTCATTCTGGAGGTATTTGCCCGATTTCTCTTCCTTTCTTCAACAAATACTTATAAATACTTATGTTAAACACAAGTAAATATAACGGCTATCAAATCCCCCCACACTTGAGCGTTGCTTGTCCTCAAGCAATTTCTTCAACTTTGGATGCCTTGGTTAGTTTCAACAAAAATATATGAACAAAAATAATTTTAATTTTAAGAGAGGTAAAAATGTATATAAACTCTTTTTTTCATTCTCGGTCCAAAACCATTTTTTCTATTAGACACACAAAACTATTATTAGATTTAGAAAAATTACTTATACCCTTGAGAGTAGATGAGTGGATTGTGACTAGGACTTTTTGAGTGTGTAGGATGGTTTTTTTTTTGTGTATTTGACTTTTGAGTATAGAAATGGATCGGTTAAAGTTCTTGGAAGAGACCGTGAGTTTTTTTTTTCATCCGAATGGATTCTCAACAAGTATTTACTCAAAGTCATTTTGATGATCCCAATTTATTTGATGAGATATGAGGTGGCTTGTTTTCCAAAATGGTTCTTGAATATTTGAGATGTTCTTAAACCATTTTTTTGGAAATGAAAGAAGGTGGTGTTCCTAGTCACAAGTTTTTTTTGGTGGTTTTCAAGAGTAAAGAGTAGTGTAATAAATCTAAAAAAAATGATAGTTTATGTGAATAATCAAAACTTTCTCAACCAAATACCCATTAAAAAGAGAATTATCACAAGTTTTACCTTCCAAAAAAATTATTTTGCACACAAAATTTGTTTAACTAACCATGAGATGCACCCCCCACACTTGAGATACATTGTCCTCAATGTAGGTTGGAGAATGTAATGCAAGATCAAATCTTCAATAGTGGAATGAGATGTCTTTGAGAGAAGGAAATGCATGATACCTGAGATTGATGATTTTTTTTTTGTTTTTTTTTTTGTATTTTTTTTTGTTGGGTTGCCTCCCAATTAGCGCTTAGTTTAACGTCATAGGCCGGACGAACGTACCTCTTTTGTGCAGCTGAATTCCCGTAGGTGTTTAGCTAGTAGGACCTCTCTTTTAAAATCTTGCGGGGGAGGAGAGGATGAGGAGCTATTATTTTCAATATTGAGAAGAGTATCACCCGGGTAAAAAATGTACCTTTTTGGCGTGTCCCGATTATGTCCTCCTTTCTTGTTGGTGTATCCTTCTTGAATGGAAAAGAGGTCTCCTCTACCATTTGGAGGCGTGAGAACATTAGTTTCCGACTTCAATAAAGTCCCGTCGTGTACATCAAGTATGTATGAGGTCTTCTTGCTCTCCGGAACTTTGGGATCTTCCTTTCCTCTTTTGCTTCCCGTTTTGATGACCATGGTACTTCCTGCTATAGTAACTTGTTGAGCAAGTTGGTCCATCTGCAATGGTAGAGTGTGGAAGGAGCTTTTGGTATCTCGTTCGAGGTTGTCCATCCTTTGATTAAGAATTGTGTTTTGATTTTCAATTCGGATGTCAAGTTTGGTAAATTGAGAATGAAGATTCTCAACGGATGCCTCCATTCTACTATAATGTTTTTCATTTTCAGCTTGAATACTTGTGGTAAGAAACGTCATCATCTCTTCCATGGTGGACTGAAAGTTTGAAGAACTCCCTTGCGGATTCCAATTGTTGTCTTGGTTTCCCTTTTGTTGATTAGAAGAGTTGTAGTAGTTGTTACCTCCATGATTCCCCCACTCGTCATAGGAGTTCATGTAATTGATCTCCTCGGGTTGAATAGCATACTCTCGTGTAGGAAGAATGTTTCTTAAGGCGGTTTGTAGGCTTTCTTTCAGTGTTCGTTCAAACTCCAAGAATCTTCTATCAAGCACATCACCAATAGATATTTCCTTCACTCTAGAGAACTTTATGTCTCTAGCTTGAAAATGTGGATTATAGGCAACAACGGGCATCTTGATCTCATTTAGTGAAGGATTTTTTTCACCTTTTTTTTGTTTGTGTTTGCATACTCTTTTAACTTCAGGACCGAAGTTTTACTTAGATCCTTGAACTTCTTAAGAGCATACAAACACAAGGAATTTTCTAAAAAACTTAACAACAAGAACAAGTGAAATGTAAAGTGTGTATGGTTTTGTTTGATTGACTTTATAACAACAAGCCGTATTTCCCTGGCAACGGCGCCAAAAACTTGGTCGGGCTGAACTTGCAAGTATACAAGTGCCGATATAGTAATAAAATACCGGTAAATACCGGGTCGATCCACAGGGAAATGGTTGTTATTATAAAGTCGAATATTGAATGCAAAGAATGTAAATGATATATTTTTTTTTCAGGAACTTTGCTCTTTGAGATTGGTTTAAACAAGAATGAGAATTACTAAGGCAATCGGGATTCACCTAAATGCTTTAATAGTTATTTAATAATAGTTCTTCCCCAATAATCATGAATACGATGTCGCTAATATATTCTCAACTCCGGTTAAGGCAGCGAGAGCGTGGTTTTCGTTACGTGTAAGTCCCGTTACGGCTTACATTCATCTACCGAAAACCCCGTTGAATATCAAGACATCACACCCGTATCATATAAGACCGGATATATTTCTATTCTCGGTACTATACATGTTTATCCTTTAATGTTCATAGTTTAGACTTCAACGTTAATTGCAAGCATAAACTAAATTTAACATACTTCTATGTTGTACACCATAGTCATAAACAATCAAAATATAAAGGATAAATCACAATTTATTGGGTTAGAACTTTTATCAAACACCTAGTGTGCATAGAGGTTCATCCGTAGCCTTAGCTAAGAAATTAGCCTCTAATGCTCATATTAATCAACAAACAATATTGAAATGTAATGGAACATGAAATTACAAAGGAAATAATACCTAAACACCAATGGTTTCGGAGGTTGAAGTTTCCTCCTCAAGAACTTGAAGAACAAAAGCAAAAACAAAGTATAAAGACTAAGAATTAATCTATGGAATGGAATGTGTTTGCTTGATGAATTGAAGGATTTATATAGGCTAAAGAATGGCATCTTTTAGTCTATTCGAGCCCAACAATCAAGTATGGAGCAATATTTGATCAAGAGATGAGGAAGGTGAAGTTTTCCCATCAAAAATCCTCTTGCACGACCTTTTGTTTGAGCTGAAATCGTCCCAACCGGCCCCGGTCAGTCTAGAACCGGCCCCGGTCGCAAACAGGCTCGTTTAGTGCGAAAAAGCCTTCCAACCGGCGCCGGTTATAGGCTGACCGGCGCCGGTTGCAGCGCCCAAAAATGCGCTTCCTTTCTCTTCTTCTGAAATTGGTCAAAAAGTGTCGGTTTTTGTCCCAGGATTTTGAGGATGTTCCGCTACGAATTTGGACATGATTCCTTCACCAAAGTTGTAGATAATGAAGTCTTCTAACCACCAAAACTTGAATGACGTGATTTTATTCATCCAATCAAACGTTATGGCTAAAACACTGAGAGGTATGCATCCTGAAATCCCACCAGCAACATCTGACTTTGTTGGTTGATTGAGTCTTGTTCCTTTCATATTTTGGCCATGACGTTTTCATAACATTTGTTCCTTATTGAGTTAGCATTCACATGAAACTCGAATCGAGTGATTTCGAGTTCTATAGAATACGTTATACTCAAATTATGGGCAGAACGTCATTCTCTTGGTCTAAAAAGTCGTTCATCGCAATGTTTTATGCTCTAGCTCTCATTCTGGAGGTATTTGCCCGATTTCTCTTCCTTTCTTCAACAAATACTTATAAATACTTATGTTAAACACAAGTAAATATAACGGCTATCAATTGTACTTGTCAAATGCTTCCAAGTACTGACCTCCCCTTCACGGGGGAGGCCACCTCACAGTTTCAGGTAGGAGCTGAGCTTGCTACCAGTGCCCGTTGCTCCGGGTAAATTCAAGGAAGGAAGACGTGGTTCGTGCTTCCTCCGTTTCCGTTTTAAAAACATTTAAATTAATGCTCATGGATATTATATTTTTGAATAATCATTTGAGGGCTTGTATGCCCATGTTTGCCAGAATGTGGCACGAACACTTGTATTAAATGTTTCCGCTGCTTGAATGAATATTTTACATTATGTTTGTTTATGGATGTACTATGTGTGAATGATATTCTAGACGCCTTGTAAAGTATGGATGTGTTGGACTGCGGTTGACTATTCGTACTGTACGGCGGGTTGTTGACGTGTCCGGTTAGGTCCGGGGCGTGACAGTTTTTGAACTCAAGCTAGGATTTTAGCTACTTCAAAGATAGGGCAATCCTAGCACTAACTTTGAACATTGTTGATGAAATAAATGATTACATGATGAAGTTGGATACATCTCAACCTTCAAGAACTTATCTCAGTTCCGATAGAGTGTGTAAATCAGATTGTAATGTGGATCTTCTAACAGATATGCATTCACCGGAATTTCTGAATAGAATCTGAGTGTCAGGTGTACCTAATCATGAGTTGACTTTAAAAGTAGGTACGCCGGTGATGCTTCTTTGAAACATAGATCATTCTATGGGTTTGTGCAATGGTACGAGGCTAATAATAACGAGGCTTGGTGATCATATTTTAGAAGCAAGAGTTCTCACTGGTAGAAGTATGGGTCAACAAGTGCTTATTCCAAGGCTGTCCTTAACTCCATCTGACATCAGGCTCCCGTTTAAGTTTCAGCGAAGACAGTTTCCAATCATGGTGGCTTATGCTATGACCATTAACAAGAGTCAAAGACAATCTCTTTCGCAAGTTGGTTTGCCGCTAAAGAAACCAGTGTTCAGTCATGGTCAATTGCATGTGGAAGTTTCACGAGTTACAAACCCCAAAGGTCTGAAAATTTTAATTTTAGATGATAATGGTGAATGCTCGAATGAAACAACCAATGTTGTGTATAAGGAAGTTCTTCAAAATATTTAAAATTTGGAAGTTCTTCAAAATATTTAAATTTTTCCATGTAAAATTATGTCTAATAGGATGTTTATTGTTGTCTCTTTGCAGAGTTTTGTAAATTATTTGATGTGTACTTTTGAAACAAACTTATTTTTAATTCAATTCACACAGGCTTAATTATTTCAGCCGTGCAACGCACGGGTGAGAATACTAGTATATATATACAGAAAAGATCAGGTCCAGCCCTCCCATGTCCAGCCGCCGTCCAAACTCCGCCGTTTGGAGCGGTTCCCGGTGAAATTTTTTGATGAATTTTTTTGAACATGTTCTTCATCAAGTCTAGTTTGTCCATACCAAATTTCAGCTCAAAATTCAATCGAGAAGGCATTCACATCGTTTTTCTAAGTTGACTACGTTTTTATATGTATATTTTGGCGCAGTCAACTTCAAAAAATGATTTGAATGCCTTCCCGGTCGAATTTTGAGCTAAAAATTTGGTATGGACAAACTAGACTTTATGAGGAACATTCTCAAAAAAATTCATCGAAAATTCCACCGGGAACCGCCCCAAACGGCGGAGTTCGGACGGCGCCTCCTGTCCCTCCGGCTGGATCTGATCAATTCTCTCTCTCTCTCTCTATTTCTCTCTCTATATATATATAATATTATACTACGTATATTATTATTACATATTATTATCATTATTATTATTTTTACTATTATTATTAATAATATTATTATTTATATTTATTATTTATTATTATTGTTGGACGGTTACCTACTGCAACCAATTCAGCGCATGTTATCTTCTCCAGCCCCATATCCTTCTCCGATTTCTTCCTCAACCGCACAATATCTTCTTCAGCTCCAAGTTCAGCGCACATTATCTTCTCCCCCATATTCTTTGATTTCTTCTTCAACCGCACAGTTTCTCCAGCCCCAAATTCAGCGCCCCAAATTCAGCGCCCCAAATTCAGCGCATCGATGTTACGTTTTGGTCTACTTGCGCAATTTCATGACAGACAATATGCTTGGCCAGCTTCAATTTTGCTTTACTTTATGTGAATCCTTCCATTTTCGGCTTCACAACCAGCGTAGTAGTCAATCGTTCCACCGCAAATCCGTCTCACAAAGGTATGATTTATCTTTCTTACGGCCGCTGCTCTGCAATCTTCCCTCTAAAAAAGGTCTAATCCTTCCACACTCCATGATCATTGATTATTGATTATGATTATTATTGATATTGATAATTGATTTTTTTTGCCTTAACATCTATGAAATTCATTGTTTTTGTAACACCGTCCCCAAATGTATTTACTTTTAAGTAAATGATGTAATAAATCTTATGGAATGATTTATGAAATAACGAAGTTGTAAATTTTTTTATAGTAAATTGCACGTGGGACCCACATCGGGAACGGGGACCACCCAACATTCCCGAGACCACATATTTTATTCATCTTGGTCAAAATAATATTTATATGGTGGTGGATATTTTATTTGGGTCGTGGAAAGGCGCAGAGTTGACCGATTGGTCAAAAGAAGCCCAATTACCGGTACCGACAATTTAACAGATAACAGCCCGGAAATGAATTTCGGAGGCTTCCAAATTTAAGTTTTGGAGCATATATTATTTCAAAGTGGTGTTATGATTGAGAACACATAATATATTCTATTTTACCCGATAAAATAAAATATATTTAAAACAGTCCGAAAAATACAACTTTCGGGGCAAACTGTACACTTCTGGACAAAAAGGGTTGACCTCCCACATGTGTGGGGGCCAACCCACGATTTTAGCAACCCAAAGTAATGGGTTGGCCGGCGGGTAGGATGGGGAACATGGGGGGGGGGGGGGATTTTGAGTTGAAAGAAAAAGCATCAAACAAAATGAGGTGGACCCCCATCCACCCTCATTTGATCTTTGAGACAAAAGGATCATCTCCTCACATCTCTCTCCCTCATCCCTGCGTCCAACACCCAAGCAAGAGCAAAGAAAAAACCCTCCATCCTTCATTCTTCATTTTTGGAGAGAGCTCTACAAGGAAGGACATCAAGAAAGGAATTACGGTGCTAAAAGTGTGAAAATCAAGGTAATACCCTTATCATAACTTTTTCTCTATTTTTCCTTCCATCATATGAGATATATATCATATGTAGAACCCCTGAGATTGTTCTACATGATAAGAGTGTGGAATAATGGGTTGAAAGGTGGTTCTAAGTCCAAGAACGGATATAGAAGTCAAAACGACCGGTTCACCGGAAAATAACCTTTTATAGGTTATTTGTATTGATTAAGGTTTTATGATGTTAAAACCTTGTTAGGCACTTGTAAAGGGTATTTCAAGTGATTTCACAAAGTTGGAAAAGTCGCCGGAGCTGTCGCCGGAGTTGACCGAAAGTCGCCGGAGTTTCACCGGAGTTCAACCAAGAAGGGCAGAACTTCATAACACTAGTTCAAGGTGAGTGGACGGCTTAATATCTTATAACTTTTGGGTTAATTATAAGATTACCTAAATAAATGTTATATGTGTTCATAATGATGTTTAAAAGATATTTAAACATGTGATTAGCCAACATAGATAAGTTTGTATGAAAGGAATTAATTGTTTATGCATGAAATATGATATGAGAAATTATATGAAATGCATATTTGTTTGAAGTGTAAAAGAAGCACAAATGAATATTATTAACTTAATTATATGATGATTACGTTGATATGTACAAGACTTGAAATGGCGGTCAACAACAACGTTGACTGATGGATAATGGATCAATTAATATCGTTGATATTAGTTAATTATAAATTTACATAAATGCATGGCTTTGCATGGATTGTGATACATAAGCTTTATGTATTGATTTAGTTATGAATGAATAAACATGATATAGACTCTATCTAGGTTGATAGGAGGTTGATCATATGATTATATTTTGGTGGAGGACCCTAGGACTTAAAAGTCCTTAACACTCATATTTTGGTGGAGGACCCTAGGACTTAAAAGTCCTTAACACTCATAATTTGGTGGAGGACCCTAGGACTTAAAAGTCCTTAACACTCATATTTTGGTGGAGGACCCTAGGACTTAAAAGTCCTTAACACTCATATTTTGGTGGAGGACCCTAAGACTTAAAAGTCCTTAACACTCATATTTTGGTGGAGGACCCTAGGACTTAAAGTCCTTAACACTCAGATAATAAATTGGTGGAGGACCCTAGGACTAAAAGTCCTTAACACTCAAATATAAATTGGTGGGGTACCCAAGGATTATGATCCTCAAAACTCATAGATTATGATATTGAAATAGGGACAAGGAGGAGTCCTATACACTCATAGGTATATGAGTGTCTCATACCTATGAGACTGTATTCTTACTAAGATCGTCCCGTTATGATTCTCATTTTACCTTTTCGATCTGTCCCACTAAGATTGTCTCATACCTTATTTGGTAAAGTTTGTGTCTTCTAAATCATTCTTACTTTATTCTTACTTTATCAATTCAATATCAATCACATAAACCCACTTTTATTAATAACTGTACTATCTTCTCTTGTCCCAATGTGAGTAATATACAAAGTGGAGTGGAATTTCAGCAAAACTTCCCTCTAAAAAATGTCACTATCATGAGCAATAAAAAGTACTATCTTCCGTTTCTTTTTAATCGCAACATGTTGAATTTTACACTATTCACGTGTTCTACTTTGACTACATTTTACGGTATTATTTTACGAAAATTATTTTTTTAAAAAGCTATTGTTCAATTCATCTAATTACAAATTTTCAAAATCTGATTTTTAATTATTTTTAACTGAAAGAAATTAGGATATAATTATGATCAAAGATATACATTTACAAGTGTGAAATGTTCACCGTTGCAACTAAAAAAGAACGGAGAAAGAAGTACTCCATATTCTGTTGCAAAATGGCCGGTCAAATAAAAGGTACTCACAACATAATTAATACTATCATCCGTCTCTATTTAATCGCAACTTGTTGAATTTTACACTATTCAATGTTCTACTTTGACTACATTTTATATTATTATTTATGAAAATTATTTTTAAAAAAAGTATTGTTCAATTCATCTCATTACAAATTTTCAAAATCTAATTTTTAAATATTTTTTACTAATAGAGATTAAGATATAATTACAGTAAAAAACGTGCGTTGAAAAATGTGAAATGTTGACCGTTGCAACTAAAAATGAACGGAAGAAGTACTATACGTAGTACTCCGTATTGCTTTGGATTTTGGAAGTTGTAGACAGCTGTAAAGAAACCAATGAATCAAACAGTGGCTCGGGCACATTTAACCATCTTTGCCATACGGACAGCTGTAAAGAAACCAAGTGTATTATTTCAACACTCACGTGATCTTTTTCTTGGTTAATGGAAAGGAGTCAGACTAAGATTTATTGTTTATTGATATTTTGGGTTTCCATTGTCGAAAGACTGAAACCATAACCAAACGGACTATATAGTCAACTATGAAGTGCAATCGCCAAGCGGAAGGGACCTCCCAACCAGAAGGAAAACTAGCTTATTTCATCTGCAATTGCCAAGGCAGTCCAACAAGCCAGGAACTCACAATGGCTGGCGGTAATTCTGGATTTCCGGTTGCAATTTGGTGTGGACAACAGAGCATCACGCGACAAGATGGCTAGCGGTGCATCCGCTGCAGCAACATCAATGGAGGTCATAGGCCGCCGGCTGACCTTCTACCCAGCCAGACGGTGGCAACCGCTCTGGTCGGTTGAGACAGCTTGCGAGTCTGGGGTTCTACTTTCAGTGACGGTGGCCAGAATCAATGGGGCGGAGCAGAAAACCAGCAAAGCAAAGGGTTGACAGTAGTTCAAAGGGGGTATTTGGATCTGATTCTCAAAACTGATTCTGCTCTTTCAGGGAGCAGAAGCTGGAGTGTTTGGGTGAAATTTCAGAAGCACTTCTGGAGCTCTAATTTACTCTCAGAATCAGTTTTTTTAGAAGTTGGGGATACCAGCCTTTGAAAATTAATTCTGATTCTGCTTCTGTTTTTAAAAAAGAAGCAGAAACAGAATCAGTTCGAAACACCTCAAAGTAGGAGAAGGCGGCCGACAGAAGATTCTGGATGACTTAAAAGCATGGCTAAATTTGTGGTATGGAATATCAAAGGTTGACTATTCATTTTAGCTTCTCTTTTGCTAGTTGTTTAAGAAAATCATTCAAATACTAGCTGTTCCATAATTCTTGCAACGGTTTGACTTTCACGTTTGTCAATGCATAACTTTGACTGTACTTATATTTAATCATGTATTAATAAATATTATAAAAAATTGATATTTTGAAAATTCAATAAGAGTTCAATAACATTATTTTATACGTAATAATTTGATTATGTATACTAATAGAAAATTATGGTCAAAGTAAAATCTGTAAATAATGTAAAAATCACAATGTTGCAAGAATGATAGAACAGAGGAAGTATGAAGTATTCTATTGAGAAATTTGGATTTGTGATGGTATTCTGTTCACGATTTTATTAAGAAAATATAGAGTACACAGTATTTTGGTGAGAAAATTGGGTTTGTGGAGGTATCTTAGCATGAACAACATAATTTCATGGGCATCGAAGTAGGTCTAACACATGACTAGGCTGCCATGGGTTGACAACCTTTTCCGAGATGAATTGATAAAACTACAAATAAGTGTGACGTTAGTTGTAAATCTATATAAGAAGTTGTTCTCCTTGTCTGATCCGATTGTTTCTGATTGAATTTTTTAAGTTCTGGTCTGATGTGAATTTTTTCTGATCTGGTCTGATCTGATCTGAATCTTTTTTATCTGAATCTTTTTGATCTGATCTGAATGTTTCTGATCTGATCTGAATGTTTCTGATCTAATCTGAATGTTTCTGATCTGATCTGAATGTTTCTGATCTGATCTGAATTCTTCTGATTTGATCTGAATCTTTCTGATCTGATCTGAATATTTCTATAATTATAATTATAATTATAATTAATATAATTATTATAATTGTAAATAAAAATTTAATTCAAATAAAATTATAGTTATAATCATAACTATAAAATAATAATCATAATCATGATAATAATAATTAAAATTAAATTTAAAATTAAAAAAATTACACTGAATACACTAATTATAAATATAGATACAATTATAATTGTAATTATATTTTTAATTATAATTACAATATTTATCTCTATAATTGTAACCATAGTTATGATTAATAATTATAATAATAATAATAAATTATTATTATAATTTAATTATAATTACTATAATTATAAATAATAATAATAATAATTATAATTATATTAACAATAATTATAATAATATAATATAATAATAGTAATATAAATACAATTAATATTATTATAATGATATTATTATATTAATATTATTATTACAATAATATAATAATATGATTATTATTATTATAATTATAATTATGATTATAGTTATAATTATAATTATAATTAATTATACTTATAATTATAGTAATTATAATTGATTATACTAATAATTATAATAATTATATTATAATTATAATTATGATTATAATTACAATTGTAGTTATTATTACAATAATAATCATAATCATAATTACATATAATTATAATATAATATTATAATAATATTAATCATAAATTCATTATTATTATAATATTGTAATAATAATATTAATATATCAATATCATAATAATAATAGTCTTCTTAATAATTGCATTTATATTACTATTATTATATTACAATATTATAATTATTATTAATTATTATTAATATCTTATTATTTTTTATCATATTATTATTAATATTATTAATAATAATTACTCCCTCCGTTCTTTTTTAAATGCAACACTTGCCTTTTTTGGAATTTTTAGGGTCTGTTTGCAGTAGCTTCTGCTTTTAAAAAAATGCTTTTTTTAAAGAAATGGGGAGAAGTGATTAAATAAAAGTTGATAGCGTTTGAGAAAAAAGTGATTTTGAAAAGTAAAAGTGGGTAGTGTTTGGTAAAATAAGTATTTTTTGTGTGATAGAAAAAGTAAAAGTACTTTTGACGCGGAAGTCGAGAAAAATAAAAGTTGTAGTGTTTGAGAAAATAAGTACTTTTTTAAAGTAAAAAACTGAGAAGTGCTTTTTAAAAGCAGTTGCAAACAGACCCTTAAAATAAATACAACACTTCCTTTTTAGGTAATAAAAATTAGCTAATATGACTACAATACCCAAAACACTCATTTCATGGTTTGCTTAACAATAAATTCAACCTTCCAGTTTCCACCCTATCCTACCAATATATCGAGTAATTATTTTAACCTATTTGCCATAAATCCTTTTATGAAATACGATGAAATTTCATGGCCGAGATATAAAAGTTTTTCATCTGCTGGAGGCCTGGAGCCAATTTCTTCTTCATCGGCAATGACTTCCGTCCTCATTGTCGTCGTTCAAAATTTCTTGGCCATCGACAGGAGAGAAAAGAAAACAAGTGATTTGTCGCCTATAGACGTCCTGGCCACTGTTCTATCTCATCCGGTGCAAATTGCCGCCCTTGTCCAGATCCTTGTTCAAATTGACATCATCGCCGACGGTCTGAAGTAAATCGATGCTTCACCTTCTGACAACAGCACCGACTTGATTACCGGTTCTGGATCTGGAGCTCTCAGAGAATATACCGTGTGGTTCGTTGATGTTGCTCTCACTTCAGTTTTATGGAAATTGATAGAATCGGGAATCAAGATAAATGGCGAAGAAGATGAATAAAAAGATTAGCCATAGAAGAAGTATACGGCCCATGAACTTGCTGTCAGAAAGTCTGAGCAAAAGTAAAATAGCCAACGGTCCAGACAAGGGCATGATAGGAACAAACAAGTTTTATCCGAATTCCTTAAAACATAGGCCCACCTCTAAGGTTGCATTTAAAACCTAACGGAGGGTAGCATATAATAATAATTATAATAGTAATAATAATAGTAATAACAATATTAATAATAATAATTAATATAATAAAAGTGATAAATCATGTTTGAATTATTCTGATCTGATCTGAATATTTCTGATCTGGTCTGAATGTTTCTAGTCTGATCTGATGTGAATCTTTCTGATCTGAATAAAATAAGAATAAACAATAAGTAATAAGAATAAGACGAAGATAACTGCTTCCAAGTATCTTGCCATTGAGGTATTGAGTACTAAAAGGCGCGAAGATTGAATCAGAAATTATTATACTCCCTCTGTCCCTTAAAACCTTTCCAACTTTCCTTTTTTGGATGTCCCACTAAATTTGCCACTTTCCCTTTTAAGTAAAGAATTTGTGATTCCGGTTAATTATCTCTCCTCTGCACAAATCTCAACCACACAGTTTTTATATTATTAATTCCTGTGCCGGTCAAACTTGCAAATTTTAAAAAACAGAGGTAGTATAAGAAATCAAGAAGTCTGAAATTCTTTTTGGCATGTTTGCAATAAAATCCCAAGTTCCAATAATTTCAATGTATGTGGGAATAAGGGCTGCAAAACACTGATATATACAGAAAAGATTAGGTCCAGCCCTCCCATGTCCAGCTGCTGTCCAAACTCCGCCGTTTGGAGCGGTTCCCGGTGGAATTTTTCTGATGAAATTTTTTGAACATGTTCTTCATCAAGTCTAGTTTGTCCATACCAAATTTCAGTTCAAAATTCAATCGGGAAGGTATTCTAATCATTTTTTTAAGCTGACTGCGTTTTTATATGTATATTTTGGCGCAGTCAACTTCAAAAAATGATTTGAATGCCTTCCCGGTCGAATTAGGAGCTAAAATTTGGTATGGACAAACTAGATTTGATGAGGAATATTTTGAAAAAAATTCATCAAAAAATTCCACAAGGAACCACCCCAAACGGCGGAGTTCAGACGGCGCCTCAAGTCCCTCCGGCTGGATCTGATCAGTTCTCTCTCTATATATATATATATATATATATATTATAATATTATACTACATATATTATTATTTATTATTATTGTTGGACGGTCACCTATCATAACCAATTCAGCGCACATTATCTTTTCCAGCCCCATATTCTTTTCTGATTTCTTCCTCAACCGCACAGTATCTTCTCCAACCCCAAATTCAGCGCAAGTTATCTTCTCTCCCATATCTTTTGATTTCTTCTTCAATCGCACAGTATCTTCTCCAGCCCCAAATTCAGCGCCCCAAATTCAGCGCCCCAAATTCAGCGCATCCATGTTACGTTTTGGTCTACTTACACAATTTCATGACAGACAATCTGCTTGGGCAGCTTCAATTTTGCTTTACTTTCTGTGAATCCTTCCATTTTCATTTCACAACCAGCATAGTAGTCAATTGTGCCACCGCAAATCCGTCTCACAAAGGTATGATTTATCTTTCTTACGACCGCTGCTCTGAAATCTTCTTTTTAGAAAAGGGTTAATCCTTCCGCACTCCATGATCATTGATCATTGATTATTGATTATGATTATTATTGATATTGATTATTGATTTTTTTTGCTTTAACATCTATGAAATTCATTATTTTCCTATTTAAACACACTAACTGTAGTTTTTTTTCACACAGCATTCATCGTTCATACTTCTTCTATTCATAAGAAAACAAACTATGTCACCTCTGAAACTCCATCTGACGAGTGTCAAATTTGAAATGCAGAAGAAAACTGCATATTTTTGTCGGGTTGCAAGAAAGTGGTCTATGCCTTTCCAGAATTGGGAGTTGGGCATCAGATCGGTTTAATTTGTTTTGATTGATGAGGACTTGATGTTAATTTAGATTCAATTTCATTTCGTACCAATTAAAATAAAGTTTTGAAATGTTTGTTTCAACTTTGAACAATCATTCACTTTTAGAAGATCAGCTTTAAGCATCTTAAATTGCTTTTGGAAGCACAAGGATTTATGAGGTTCCAATTTATGTTAAGTTTAGTACCAATGCGTTGAATATAAAGTCTAATATCATTCCACAATATTAATAGCAGATTCAAATCTACCAAAACTAATACACTTCATCACTTTTTAAAAAGTGGTCTGTTGCCTGCATATCTAACTTAAAATGAAATTAATTCATCTTCTAGATTCATGCATTCCATTTACACAAGCATATGCTCTTCTATTTTTTATTCTTATCTGGTGGGGTTCTTTTATTTGTTACTCTTCCATTTAAAGCTTTGTTCCTCTTTTTCATCTCTTCTTTTCTACTTATTTCTTCTTTCATGTACACAAAATATATACCCATAAGTTGAGAATACTATTTATCTTTGGTTTGGATTCAGAATGATTAGCAGGAATGAATGACAAACTATACCATTGGTTTTGTTTGAATATGAAAAGTTATGATTTTTCAGAACATAAAAGTACGTTTGATGTATTATAGCTTTGTCTGCTGCTGTTGCTCAAAGCCATAATACATTAGACGTACTTTTATGCTCTGAAAAATCATAACTTTTCAGATTCAAACCAAACCAATGGTATAGTTTGTCATTCATTCTTGCTAAACATTCTGAACCCAAACCAAAGATAAATAATATTCTCAACATATGTGTATATACCGTTTGTACATGAAAGAAGAGGAACAAAGCTTTAAATGGAAGAGTAACAAATAAAAGAAACCCCACCAGATAAGAATAAAAAATAGAAGAACATATGCTTGTGTAAATGGAATGCATGAACCTAGAAAAGAAATTAATTTTATTTTAAGTTAGATATGCAGGCAGCAGGCCACTTTTTAAAAAGTGATTAAGTGTATTAGTTTTGGTAGATTTGAATCTGTTATTAATACTGTGGAATGACATTAGATTTTATATTCAACGCACTGGTATTAAACTTAACATAAATTGGAACCTCATAAAGCCTCGTGCTTCCGAAAGCAATTTAAGATGCTTAAAGCTGATCTTCTAAAAGTGGTTGAATGTTCAAAGTTGAAAGAAACATTTCAAAACTTTATTTTAATTGGTACGAAATGAAATTAGATCTAAATTAACATCACCTCCTCATCAATCAAAACAAACTCAACCGATCTGATGCCCAACTTCCGATTCTGGAAAAGCATAGACCACTTTCTTGCAACCCGACAAAAAATGCAGCTTTCTTCTGCATTTCAAGTTTGACACTCGTCAGATGGAGTTTCAGAGGGGACATAGTTTGTTTTCTTATGAATAGAAGAAGTATGAACGATGAATGATGTGTGAAAAAAGAACTACGGTGAGTGTGTTTAAATAGGAAAACAATGAATTTCATAGATGTTAAGGCAAAAAAAAAAATCAATATCAATAATAATCAATGATCATGGAGTGCGGAAGGATTACCCCTTTTTTAGAGAGAAAGATTCACAGAAAGTAAAGCAAAATTGAAGCTGCCCAAGCAGTTTGTCTGTCATGAAATTGCACAAGCAGACACAAACGTAATATTGATGCGTTAAATTGGGGCTGGAGAAGATACTGTGCGATTGAAGAAAAAATCAAAGCATATGGGAGAGAAGATAACGTGCGTTGAATTTGGGACTGGAGAAGGTATTGTGCGGTTGAGGTAGAAATTGAAGAAAGATATTGGGCTGGAGAACGTAACGGGCGCTGAATAGGTTGTGGTAGGTAACCGTCCAGCAATAATAAAAAATATAAATAATAATAATATATATGTATATATTGAGAGAGAACTGATCAGATCCAGCTGGAGGGACAGGAGGCGCCATCCGAACTCCGCCGTTTGGGGCGGTTCCCGGTGGAATTGTTTGATGAATTTTTTTGAAAATGTTCCTCATCAAGTCTAGTTTGTCCATACCAAATTTTAGCTCAAAATTCGATCGGGAAGGCATTCAAATCATTTTTTGAAGTTGATTGCGTCAAAATATACATATAAAAACGTAGTCAACTTAAAAAAATGATTTAAATGCCTTCCCGATTGAGTTTTGAGCTGAAATTTGAAATGAACAAACTAGACTTGATAAAGAACATGTTCAAAAAATTCCACTGGAAACCTCTCCAAACGACGGAGTTTGGACGGCGGCTGGACATGGGAGGGCTGAACTTGATTTTTTCCGTATATATCAATGGTTTGCAGCCCTTATTCCCACATACATAGAAATATTATATAAACTTCTCATTTAACATTTGAATTGCTTAACAAATTATTGTACATGTGTGCTACAATGACATTCTTTGAGTTACTTCTTTTTCTTTATACTTTTATAAAGTAAATGCATGCATTTCTTATAAAATATATTCATCCCCTCCTAACCAAGCATTCCAGCTCAGCTGGTTGCACGGTTACCGTGTCAATGAGAGGTCTCGAGTTCGAATCCCGCTAGACATATAGGGGTTTGAAACTCAATGGAGTGAGTTTTAGCCTTGATTACTCCAGTCCCCCCAGCCCCTCCGTTAGACCCCCTGGAGTAAATATATATAGGAGATGGTTCAAATAAAAAGTGTTCTTCCCGTGCAAGTGGTCTTCGCTTGCACATTTTTTTTGTTTTCGTTGCTCTTTTTCGCGGTAGCAAAAAAAATTGGGTTATTTACAAAACTGCCACCGTCATTTTGGGGGAATTTGGCCAAAATCGCAATAGTGAAAAAGTGCAACAGAAAGCAGGAAAAGTGCAAGCGAAACGTGAACACCACTTTTTATTTGACAGTTTGGACGGCTGAGATTAATTCTCATTTTACACGTTAAGATGTCTTCTCATTTGAACTCATCCCTATATATATATATATAGAGAGAGAGAGTTTGGTTCAAATAAAAAGTACTTCCTAGGTGAAAAATAAGAACTAATCTTGGCCATTGATGTGAAGAAATGGATGGAAGAGATCAATTTTTAATGTTGAAATGCGGTGACATTGTTGTAATTATAGAGAACTTTTATTGAAAATGTTGTGGCAATGTGTATCAGAATAGTCAAAAAGTGCAGCCGTAGAGCACAAAAGTGCAATACAGTACCTAATGAAAAGTGCACAAGTTGGAAAAATTTGACAATCTTTTTTGACACGCATGAGTGCTATTTTAATCAGTAACTATCCACTTTATAGTATAAACAGTTGCACTTTTATAAAACTGTCTCTTATGTTTAAAGTCCATCTTATCCATCCATTTTCAAGTGATCAAAAGCCAAGATTTGTTCTCACTTCTCCCCATACAAAATGCAAATCAATTTCGTGCGTCCGATTTAGGCAAATCAATGGCCCAAAACAGGTTCCTCACCGTTACCTTTCATGAGTTGCGAAAGAGGAGAACGGGTATTTTAAAACCCGTTTAGTAATTAAGGATAAAGATTTCATTTGAATTTTTTAAAATGGAACCGCCATAATACGGAAAAGGAAGGAAATCCCTCTTGCGCAAAATCCCCACTTAGGTTCGAACTGCCCATGTATAGCAAATTAGAAAAAGGAAAGATGCAGAGGTTGTTTAATGCTCCAACTAGCCAAGGTCTGAGAAGCTGGAAAATTTCCTTGAGAGTGGCGAAAGCTTCAGCGTAGACGAAGAACGTCGTTTGTGAAGATCAACGACTGGTGAAATTTTATTTGCGCAAATGGCTTCAGTTCAAGAAGAACATGCTTTGCGACAAGCTTCTTTGGCGTGCGAAAAAGGTATTTGTGTTGTTTAGATTAATCTGTTTGCATGGAGGATTTTGTATGTTAGATGCACAAAGAGGGATGTGTGGATGCATTTGTGATGGACTTCATATTTACTATGTTTTTGTTGTTGTTGAATTTAGTAATGTGTCATATATAATTACTAATATGGAGTTGAATTTGAGGGAAAAGTGCATTTTGCATCGAGAATGTTTGTTTGTGTTCGTGGTTGGTGAGTGTTACTAATTAGATTAAGTATTGTGAAAAATAGATTACATAAAGGTGCAATAGATTAGAGTAATGTTAGTATCAATGTTGTTTTTTGAGTTCGTGTTTGGTGAGTGAGTATTCTGATTATACAAAATTTTGTTGCAAAATGGATTAGGTAAAGGTGCAATACATTATACTAATCTTAGTATGAATGTTGGTTTTTATGTTCGTGTTTGGTGATTGAGTTTAAGTAGATTAGTTATTGGTGCAAAATAGATTAGCTATTGGTGCAATTTAATTGATATGGTACGCAGACTAAGATTCGTGGGGTGCAGTTGAGGCAACTTAGAAGTAATCAAAGGTGCAAGTAAATAGATTATATGTGTATTACTTGGGGCAAAATAGATTAGCTAAAGGTGCAATTGATTATTGTTGGAGGAAGTTGTGTATGCTGGTTAAAATGCAGATAAAAAAATGGTTGGGTGTGGATGAAAAAACTTAGAAATTACTTTGATTCAATTTTTATGGTGCAAAAGACATTACGTAAAGCTGCAATTGAACTGTGAAATAAATGCAGACTGGGTTTGTTTTCAAATGCTTATTCATTTTTTGGGTCATGGAATTAATATGCAGATGAAGATTGGTTGTTATGCAAAGAGAGACGTTTAGTGCATTTGGAATTGTTTTTAGGTGCATATATTGTTGGTAAACATTCATGTGATTTCTGATATCTTAGTGAAGTACTTAAGATGCAGATGAGTGTAGTGGAATATGTATCAGGTGTTTGAATTAAGCAATGGGTGTATTTGAATATGTTCTTGATTGCACTATGTGTGGCATATCATTAATGGTATTGTTTTTTTTTTCAACAAGGAGTTAAGATGCACATGAATGTATTTTGGTGTGCATATGAATATGAATGACAGTGTACTAACTAATCTAACTAACTAAGTAGGAACTGGACAAAACCACCAAACAGTTCTACAAAAGAGAAAGAAAGCAGCACCATGTGGGAGTAGTATGGCAAAGAAAAAGAAGGTGATTAATAAGGGGAAACAAGTACAAGTGCAGCCTCTTGGTTAGTAAATTTATACTTTCATTGTTTCATTTGTTTGAACTACTGAAATTGAGATGCGATTGAAATTTTAGGAGACAAGATTATTGGGCTCATGCAGTTCCGTTCTAAGTTTGAGAAACAAAAGACTTTGAGCATGCAGCGATTGGAAATTAAGAGCAAATCAAGACATGACTTCCAAGGTTAAAAATAGTAAATATTCATTGTATTGAATATTTTATGGTGTATGAATGACAAAAAATTATCCTCAAATGTAGGTACATTTATAGAAGACAATTTAGGACTTGAGTTGATGGAAAAAGAAGTAGAGAGAAGGTTAAAAAAGGAAAATGCAAAAGTTGCTGCAACCAAGAAATCCGGGTGCATATCAAGAGGCCAATTGAAAGGTTTGATTACAACCAAGTTTCTTTCGTAGATGTGAACTGTTAAGGGGTGCAAATACATATAATATGCAGTGCATATGATTAAGGGGCGCAAACAGAGTATTAAAATGGTGTGCTAATTCATTTAATTCAATTTTAAATGAAATGCTCTTTTCAATGTGCAGGATCTAAGGTTGCTTGTGGAAAGAGAAGCACTGGTCAAGAAAGTGGTGAAAGAAGGAGGAGTGTAAGGATAAACAAGGAGACTGAAGTGTGCAATGAAAACGTTAATGATGTGGTGGTGCCTGATACCGAAGATGGCAGTGAGGCAGACATTCATGAATGTGAGGAAGCTGGCAGTGATGAAGATTTTGTCAATTTACCAAACAAGTGGTGAGAAAGGAAAAAGAGTGTGCGGGCAGACCAAAGAAGAAGTAGAAGAGGGCTGTTGTGAATGACTTGAAGGTCCAGTACCACAACCTCTACACTATATCATCACCGAATGTGGTGATGAATGCTATTTCGAAATTGAGTAACAAACAGCGAGAACAAGTGCGTGAAGTTAGCTTTGGGGCTTTGTTAGACCTAGGAATCAGAGAGTTGCCGTCTAAGCTTGGTTATTGGATTGTGGACAACTTTTACCCAATTAGTTGTTCATTGAAGTTAGGTAAAGGTAGGAAAATTCACATCACAGAAGAAGATGTGGAGCTGGTTCTGGGATTTCCACGCGGTGACAAAGCAGTGTTAAAGAAGGGGAAAGGAGATAAAAGTGAAATGCTGGATGAGCGGAGGGCTTCTTGAGGGCTTCTTGTATTCTCTATCAAGGTCGATATAACAAGAATTATGAAGTTCCGCACAAAGCATTCTCCACCTTCCTCACATCTTAGTATTTCACACACCACCTCTATTGGCAAAACTTTATCCTTTCCTCCGAAAGAAGCAAAGATTCTCGGATATATGAACTGCTCCTTCATTAACAATTTGAAGGACACAAAAGGAATCAAAGATTTAAATTGGTGCGAATATGTGATAAAGGCTCTAATTGAGAAGAAAAGAGAATGGGCTAAGGGAAAGGAAAAGGCATTCACTGGCTTGCTCCTTTTCTTGATGGTGAGTACATTGTATTTTAATATGTTTAGGTAGTTCAATGTGCAGTTTGTGTGGTATTTAGGTAGGGTATAGTTTTATAAAAGGTGTGGTGCATGTATTATGTGATTATGCATATTAACGTAGTTGAATATGCACTTTTGTAGAAGGTGAGGTGCTTTACTTTAAGATTGAGAATTAAGACAGATGAATTATTGATTTTTTGATGAATTCGAGTTACTGAAAGTGCATTTCGAGTTATTAAAAGTGCATTTTAATGCAATATTAAGTAAAACTTGTGTGATGGAAAACTAATATGCAAAATGGTTAACCTAAAGATGCAAATCAATGTTCACTGTGCAAACATTATGTGATTATGCATATTAAGGTAGTTGAATATATAGTTTTATAAAATGTGTGGTGCATGAATTTAAGATTTGTTCATAATACTAATGTATTCACTACTAGAATATCTGTCATTCGCTGCTCCCTTTTTGCTGCGGTCGTAGGAATACCCGCAGCAAAATGTTAGAAATTCGAACTAATTGCGGCGGAAAGAGAAGAACCGCAGCATTTCCTTCGAAAATTTGTGGAGTACTTGCTGCGGTCACCACGGAACCGCAACATTTATTTTTTAAATTCAAAATTTAATCCCGGTTTGCTGCGGGTGTTCACTGGCCACAGCAATAACCCCTGAAGTAACCTTATCCCTTTGCTGCGCTCATCCTTAGTTGGCAGCCTCCAAACTCCAGATCTGTTCGCCGCTGCAGCCTCCAAACTCCAGATCTGTTCGCCGATGCAGCCTCCAAACTCCAGCCTTTCCCAGCCGCAGCACGTCAACACTCCCAGACGCAGACGCTGCTCCTCCCAGTCGCAGACGTTGAACGCCACACTTCTCACCAGATGTAGCCTTCGAACGCCGCCGAATGCCGCTCCTCCCAGTCGCAGACGCTGAACGCCACGCCTCCCATCATATGTAGCTGCGGAACGCTGCCGAACGCCGCCCCCTCCTAGTACACCCACTCCTTTGTCGGATCATATTGGCTCAATAGAGGTTTAGTTTCCAACCTTTTATTTTTACATTTTTTTACAAAAATTATTGAATTTTATCAAATTTGTTGAAGATTAGTATATGTATGAATTGATTGAATTAGTATTATTTTTGGATGAATTGAATTAGTCTTCTTAGGGTTATAGATGCTCTACAAGCATGTGAAGAAAATTTGGGCCCAAAGACTCTTCATAGGGGCGTCAAAAGAGTGAAATTATAGAGTATATGTAATACAATACTCCGTATTATCTCCTATGTAAATGATTGGAAATGATAGGATTCGTTTACATAATATTTTGGTAATATCAAAATTCAAAATATGATAGTACGATTTCAAAATGACAGTCAAAGTCTCCTTCTTAGAGAAAAATAGAATGATTAAATTTTGAAATTATTCATACAAAAAAAAAGCAATTTTGTATATAAGGTTCGTTATAATGGTATACATTTCGTACATATACTCAATTAGTATTCAATACATATTCTAATTGATACTGATTTCATACATAAATAGAAATTAGTATTCATACATATACTAATTGATATACTTGTGTTTGTGATTTAAAATTTAAAGGCACACACTTCCAAAAAACAGAGTGGTGACGGCATTATGTTATTATCTGTTCGATCCACAGCCCAGCGTGACGGCCCATCATCATAGACGTGGTCCAATGTCGTGGCCCATCCTCATGAACAATGCAAAGGCAAAGGGTAGTTTTTCATTGTTTGAGCGCAATCAAAGGCTGGCTACGTGTTTGAACCCCAAAGCTTGGCCCTCATTGAGCCTAGCTGAGACATACAAGTTATTTCACGTAGGTTGGACTATGGTCTGGGGGACTTAGTCCACCGCTGGCTTTAAGCTGCCTATATGTTTTGTTCTTAGTAGTGGGCAGATTTTCTACCTTAGGTTATACAGGCAGATTGTAATACACTAATTATTTTTTGTTAGTATAAATAGGTCCTAAAGGTCATTATTGAAACCAATTTGATACATAATCTTTTTCTTCCTGTCTTCCAGTGGACTAGTAAGCAACACAGTCTTAGTTTGTTCAGTACAGATTAATGCCCAATAACTGATGTTGTTTTTTTACTGTAAAGATAAATTTTTAAGATGAATTAGTCATCTTAAATTTTTAAGCAAAGAAAAGATAGGGAAGTGGTCATGTTTAAGATAAATTAGTCATTACTGTAATTCTGTGATACTGTATGTTTTTTCGATTTCATTATATACTTAAATTTTTACTTTATAGTTGTAATGCAGGTACAAACAGTTTATGGAGCTCTACACGGGTTGCAGGTTTAGTGTTTTTACTGTCTCCCTCTAAGATGCATACAGAGTTAAAGCAGTTTAACAATTCATTATTAGGATTATTCCTTACCATCAGAAGCTAAGATGGCATATAAGCAATAATAAGGGGGAACCAGAAACCATTAAGAGATTAAATAGCCATGAAATCCATCAGTCCGGAAAGAAACTTTAGTAGCTTTGGCATTCTTAGATGGGGTGATCTTTAACTGTGTGTGCACTTTTGTTTTTGAGTAATGTGATCTGGCTATATCTATGATAGATAGTACGATAGTATAAGTTACCAACACAGCTGATTACAATGTCAATACTATAGATGGAAAAGAAAAACTATAGCCGATAGAGAAAATGATAAACAAACATGTGAGCGTTTGTCCACCTGAGCAAGTTTGTTCAAACACAATGAACACTTATTGTGCAATGAAACTTTTAAATTAACAGAGTCAAGACAGTTTATGCTAAAAATTGTTTGCTTTCAGTTCACATTTTGGTCTGTTTTAAATACAAATGTATTATTATCAGTTTAGTTGTTCAATTTGGTAGGCTGTTTGAGGCTCACAGTAAAAATCATGATGGTTTGGAAATTGGCAAACTAGAGAAAGACAGATTGAGAAAGGTTAGTACAAAAAAGTAGGATTATCATGCTACATGATAGTTGACATTCAGATTCTTATTAAATTCCTTTTATATGATTCTAGGGAGACCAAATTGAAGAATCTTAGCCACTTTGTGATGTTGAGAGTGACATGGCTACCATAGAAATAACAAGTGGTTACAAGGGAACAATCTCTAGCATGCCTCATGTTCCTGGGAACATTATGAAGGTTAGGCTGGGAGTCTAGAAAGCTAGAGTATATGCGGTAGAATGTGAGAAATAACACCATAGTAATTAATTGTATAATGGAAAAACGTATAGATTAATAAATAAAATTGTAGTGTGTACCCAACCACTTAATAGAACAAATAAAAGTGACGACTATTTTGAAAATGCGTCTAAAGTGTCTTTTCTAATTGTAGATATTTTTGAAAATGTTAAAATTAAACAAACATAAAGTGTGGCGAATAGCATAAGTATCTTAGTTCAGAGGACTTTCCGTGAACAAAGGGATTTCACTGAGGACTTTCCCAATGTATCACCTTGTCTTTAGTTTGGGATCCTTTTTAATTCTTTCATCCAGTTTGGTTTAGCTTCGGTAAGTTGGTTTTATCTCTTATGTAAATGGGATCAAGATGTTGGAAGTGGGAGCTACACTTAGTCTTTTACTTGATCTAGGTTGGCCCTCTCGTATTGTTTATTTTTGGCTTGGTTTGATTTTGGCGTGACTTTTCAAGAAAAAGATGACTTGACTGTTTAACTTGGGTGTCCCCTCTTTGAGAAAAATTTATTAAAAGTTAGTAAAATAGATTAATAAATTTTGTATAAAACAGCGTGTTCTAAATTTGAAGTCTTATTCACTTTATTGCTATTGTTGATAAATATAATTTTTATGTGTGTACAGATACCTTCTATCTAGATCGAGAAGCAATGGATGATGCCGGTGAATTTGCTACAACCCTCCTGATTTTGAAGAAGATAAAAGAGATGAATTATGTGAAATTGATGATGCGTTGGACAAATTTGTGTGATGATTATTGTAAACTTTTAGTGAAAAATAAATTTACAATGATGGAAATCTGTATTGCATTCATTATTAATTTTGGAGATGTATAATTTAATTTTGTGGGATGGTGTTTTTGAGTTGTGCTAATAAAAAATTGAGATTTTAGAAATGATTGCTTTTTTATTTTGTAAACATTTTGAGTATTACAATTATCATTAAAAAATCTGAGTATTATTACAAAACAAAAACAATAAACCAATATTTAAGAGAGTATTTGTTGCGGTTCAAAAAGAGTATTTGCTGCGGTTCAGAACCGCAGCAATAAGTTAAAATTCTTTTTTTAAATAGCTATTTGCTGCGGTTCTTGACCGCAGCAAATACGTCTTCTTACTATTTGCTGCCCTGCCAATTGTTGCGGTTCAAAACCGCAGCAAATAGGTTAAAATAACCGCAGCAAATAGCATTTATTCTAGTAGTGATTAGTGATTGAGTTATATATTAGAGCTTCTGAGAGTGCATTTACAGTTAGGTGAAATGGAGGTTTTAAGGCAATAAGAAGTTATTTGCAGTTGGTATTAAACTGAAAATAGAATATACATATGAATAACGTTGATAAAGTTAAAGTAATTCTTCATTTTTTTTTTGTAGGTGTTGTATGCGGATAGGGTGGAAGTATATAGAAGAAGTGTGCCTAGGAAGGTTTCCGCTATAATAGGATGGAGCACACAGTTATTGAGGGAGAGGGAATCTGAAGAAGTTGAGGCTGGAGGATTTGGGTTAGGGTATGTAGATGAGAAGATGACAATGAACCGAAGGACGGGGAAAACTGTCACCGTTGAAGAGAGAATCGAGGATGTGGGACAACCCTCGACGACAACCGGTGCAGAAGAGGTAGAGTAAATTACGGCATTTATGTGCTTGCAGGAGACTACATGTCTGGTCCACTTATTTTTATACCTTGCATGGTTATGAATTAGTGAATGTGCAGAATTTTTTTATTCTTTAAGAGGAATGTTATTAAAGAACCATTGGTCTACTTTGTTTCAAGATTGTTGTGTCTAATTTAGGAAATGCCTAAGTTATCATTTTTTTTTGCAAATGACAGGACGTTATGCAACGCTTTGCTAATAAGACCAGCTTATTTGTTAAGACAACGACTGTCATCATGAATATGTTAAATGCATCTCCCGATGTACTTCGTGGCAGTGAAGAGTTCAAAGAGTTGGGGCAATCGGCGAATATGCTCATGGTTGTTTTACAGAAGAAGAATTCTCCGGATTTTGCCACACCTACACAGATGGACAGGGAGATGGAGGTATTTTGGTCAAACCCAGTCAACCTTCAAATATTAGCTGAAGCTGAGGTGGACGGTATAAAGAGAACAAAGGTTCTTCAAAGGAGGGAAGATATGCCAAACTTTAGTATAGGTCTCACACAAGACGATCCCCCAAATGAAGTAAGCGGTGATGCTCTTATGGGGTTCGAGAAGAACAATACAAAAGAAAAAGGGAAGGGAAAAGCCGATGCAAGTGTGCAGCTGCCTTTAAATGAGCAAATGGTAGCGGTTGGTGGTCAATCAAGCTCAAATATAAACCATGTGTTGGAAATCAGAAAGGTAATTACAAAAACTACAAAAATCAGTGATTAGAATTGAAAATTTTGTAGTAGTATTTATGTAATTTTTTTTAAAACATTGATGCCAACAGGACATTGAAGAGACAGAAGAATTGGCCCAGATAAGAAGAAAACAAATGGCTGCAGCAACCATGAAATCACCCTACGTAAGAAGAGTTATTGATCTAAGTGATGCAATAACGAAAGATGATGTTGAGGAAAATATTTATTGTGATCAAGTTTGTCTAGAGTGTACAAAGTGTTGGACCGAATTATATACTCTAAATAGAGTGTTGGACAAACACAATCCAGCAATGCAGATATACTCTTGGACAGAGGAAAATATTTATTGTTTCTAGTTTGTTTAGAGTATATTTACTCCTGGTTTATTGTTGACCGAATCAAATAGGGTGTACAAAGTGTTGAAAGCCATCGAAAAGCAACTGGATCAAAGAAGATCACTCAGAAACTATGAGCATGCTCTCAATCTCAGAAAGAATTATTATAAAGCTCAGTAGTGAAGAGACAAAGAAGCAAGACGACACTTGATCACAAAGGGGGAGATTGTTGAGGAAAATATTTATTGTGATCAAGTTTGTCTAGAGTCTTGTTATTTTAATTAGAATATTTTATCTTTTATAGCTTTTATTATTATGTAATGAATAAATGCAACTAAGGGAATATGGCCTAAAAAGGCCTTAGGCCCAAAGTTCTAGGTTACCACTTCGGTACCTATACCTACGCCTATAAATATGCGTACATGTGGTACAGGACTGAATAATCAGCAATACAGCTCCTTTTCATTCAAAGTTCTCGTTTCCAACTTATCGATAATATAGCGTAAGGATTTCTTCTGTTCAGATAGTTTCTCGATCATTATTAAGAATCCTTCTCTATATTATCGTAGATTTCTTTGATCTTGTTATTTGGGACCAACAACTGGTATCAGAGCCGATCGAGTACTGATCTTCATCGAAGAAAAACTGCGAAGAAACACTCTGTTTTTATCTTTTCGATGTTTTCTTAAATCTACTTTTGTAAACCTATTTCTGGACATTTCTTTGTAAAAGTTATACTGCTGGATTCGCCTTTAAAAAATAAACCAGGAGTATATCTGCATTTTTGATATCTGTAATCTTTGAATCTTTGAATTCTCGATATTGCTATATCGAGAAGCTGGTTCTCGATACATTAAGCAGGATTCTCAAAGTTAGATTGACACAGGAAGCTTCTCGACATAAAAAACAACTCACCAGTAGTCTTCGTTTTAAAAATTTTGAAAATTTTTTAGTGCAGGATTTCGATAGGATGATCTCGACATTAAGCTCGAGAACTTAGTTTTCGATACTGGCTTCTCACATTAGTATTTTTCGATATCTATTCATTGAAATAATTGTTTTCGATATTACAGGTTCTCGACATCGGTTCTCGAAACTCAAAACTCGAAAAGTCAGTTCTCGAACTAAACTTCTCGAAGTTTGACTTCTCGACATCGACTTTTCGAACCCTTATATCGAAAACTAACTTTTCGAAGTTTCAATATTGAAAACTTACTTCTCGATAATCTTTCTCGAACTCTTAGTTCTCAAACCTACTTTTTGAAGTTTCACTTTTCGATAATCCATGCTTAGAAATAATTTTGTGACAGATCAATCACTCGAACGGTCATTTTTTAAAATAGCAAAAATGGATGCTCTTTCAATGGGAAACGACAACAGACCCCCGATTCTTAGGAGAGATGAGTACGTGATGTGGAAGAACAGGTTTCTCAATTTTCTCGAAAGCAAAGACAACTCTTCAGCCGTGCTGGAATCACTGACGGAGGGACCAGCTCAGCTTTGGATGACACTTGGAGGTGACAATGATAATGAGCCCCCCGTTGAACCAGTAAGAGTACCTAAGGCTGTTGAAGAGTATATTGAAGAAGATAGATTGAGAATCAAGACTGATCTGATGGCAAAGACGTACCTGCTCCAAGCAATTCCCAACGATATCTATATCCAGATAGATAGCATGGACTCTGCAAAGGAGATGTGGGATGAGATTAGGAAGCTGATGGAAGGAACAAATCTTGGTTTGAAGACTAAGAAGGCAAGCACTCTCAATGCCTATGACTCCTTCAAGGGCAGGCCCGGTGAACCTCAGCATGAGACTTATAACAGATTTGTTAAGCTTGTGAATGACTTACGAAAGATTAATGTGAACAAAGCCAACATGGAGCTGAACATACGATTTCTTTATAGTCTGAGCCCTGAATGGAAGAGGACGGTGAAGAATGTGAGACAGAATCTGGATTTAGATGAAGTTGACCCGTATACCATCCATGACCATCTCCAACAGTTCGTGAATGACACTGCAGAACCTGAAGGAAATTTCGTTGCTGATCCACTTGCTCTAGTGATGGAAACTCAGACGAGAAGTACATCTAAGATGCAAAAGAAGAAGAAAGTCGTCATGGTGTCTGAAGAAGATGAAGGAGGTGATGAAGAGATAGACATGGAGTCTGAGATGGCAGAGTTGCAGAAGAAGATGGCACTCTTGACCAATCAGTACAACAAGAGATTTCCCAATAAGAACACCTCATCCAACAAGCTGAGAACCTCCTCATCCAACTACAAACCAAAGCAGTTTGAGCAGAATTCCTCAGAAAGAGCCATTGCAGCAGAAGAACCTCCCAAATGCTTTAACTGTGGAAAAGCTGGACATCTTATCAAAGATTGTCGCTTACCAAGAAGGAGGGATTTCAACTACTATAAGCAGAAAATGCTCCTGAACAAGCAGAAGATGTTCATGGCTAAGCAAGATGATGAAAATGCTGCACTGCTCGCTGAGAAGGATCATTGGATGGAGGATGATTCTTCAGATGAGGAAGAAGAAAACTTAGCTTTGATGGCTGTTGTAGAGAAAGATGAAAGAAAGGGTGATGCTGCGATCCCCGAAAATGATGAAAGTGAAGGCTCAAATAGCAATGTAAGTCCTTCTAAAAACTCATGTTCTTGCAACGGCAAAAATCATTCTTTAACTGAAAAGGATAAGATCATTAAGGAACTTGAGGCGAGACTTGATAACAATCATAAAGTCTTACTTAAGAACTTGCATAAGAATGCCAGTTTGTCCATAAAATTTGAGGAATCTACGCAAAAGGTTGAAAAGATGACCTTAGAAGCAGACAAGTTGGTACTTAAAATCACTGATTTGACTCATGAATTGAGTAACACCAAGACAGAGCTCAATCAGACAATCGCGTTGAAAAAGGTTTTACACAATCAAAGAAGTGCTCTTTATAGAAAGATGAAGGAGCTTGAGGATCTCTTAGCTAAACGTGATCAAACTGAACAAACTATTTTCTTAAACCAACCCAAGGATACCCGTTTCTACAATTCCAAAGAAGGTCTTGGTCTATCGAATCCCAACAACCTGAAAAAGGTGAAATGTAAACAATTGTATGATATTAACTACATGGGATTCGGTCTGACCAAACTCATGTTTTTCACTGCTGCAAAAGAAACGGCTGAACTTGAGGCTGAGAAAAGAACAAATAGCACTAAAGC